CTTTGAGTCACAGGTGAGTTTTGTCTCAGGTATGTCTACCGTGTTTCCATTATAGAGTTGTGAATGAAAATAATTTAATACATTTGTGCCCTTTTACCTTGAACATTTCTAAAATGCCCTTGGTACTGGGTCAAGACTCATCTCTGGACACAAGCTACCTTTCTATCAGTTATGAGCCTAAGATTGTTTTCTTGGTTACAAAGTCATGTTCAAATAAGAATTTAATTCTCTTATTCCTCTTTTTAAAAGTTTGACAAATCAGTCTGTAAATTTCTGTTACCAGTTAGTTCATATGTAATTTCAAAGTGTAGGGAAAAAACAAGATGTGTTTGTGAAACACTGATGCCCCCGTATGGCAGCTTATGGTGAAGGTTAAACTTTCTCAAATGCAAGTCAAACTGCAAAGTCGGGAGATCAAAAATGCCCAAGCACAACCATTCAAAAGTTATGGTCAAGGTTAATGTTTTCTAAAAGTGGGCCAAACTCCAAGGTCAAGGTCAAAGGGTCAAAATTAATGGTATTCAGGGGGAAGACCTTGTCAAGTAAGAAATATACATGCAGAATATAAAAGCCCTAGCACCAACAGTTCAGAAGTTATGGTCAAGGTTAAAGTTTTTCAAAAGTAAGTCAAACTCAAAGGGCAAGGTCAAAATTGTTGATATCCAAAAGAAGGTCTTGTCACAAGAAATACACCTGTGAAATTTGAAAGCCCTAGTACTAACTATTCAAAAGTTATGGCCAAAGTTAAAGTTTTTTAAAAGTGGGTCAAAAGTTATGGCCAAGGTTAAAGTTTTTTAAAAGTGGGTTAAACTCTAAGGTCAAGGTCAAAAAGTCAAAAATATTTACACCCAAGGAAAGGTCTTGTCAGGATAAATACACATGTGAAATCTGAAAGCCCTAGCACCAACTGTTCAAAAGTTATGGCCAAGGTTAAAGTTGGGTAAATTTTTACAAAAGTGGGTCACACTCCAAGGTCAAGGTCAAATATGTTGGTACCAAAAGGAAGGTCTAGTCAATAAATACACATGTGAAATATGGACGGACGGGGCAAAAACTTATATACCCACGACTCTTCGATTACCAGGGCATTATTATAAAGTGGTTTAAAAGATAATTTCCATACAAAACATGTCTACAGACAGACAAACAGACATGGTGATTCCAGGACACCCTTACAACTTCTTTGTAGGAGCTAGTATATAACTTCACTGTAGGGGCAAAAAAGTTTTAGCTTTTACCAATAATATATGGCCCAGTGATCTTGACTTTTGAGATAATTCAATATTTTACTACACCTACATCACTGTTTTCGTTATCCCTAAATGCTCTCCCATTGGAAAATGGTTAGTCTGCACATTTCTGTTAAAACTTGAATTTCCTTAATCTGAGACTTAAACAAAACATGAGTTATGCTAACTGGCCAAGTTTGCAATGGTTAAAATTGGCATTTAGGTGTGATTCTAGAGAATGTAATACGTACATCTGGAAAGTGCAAAAATTTACAATAACAGACAGACAAGTTTTGACAGTAAAAAGCTTACTAAAGCTTCTGGCTTAGATGGAATAATTAAATTAAATATGTTCAGCTTAATGTCAAATTTAAATTGTCAAAAAAAAAAAAAAAAAATCATACATGTATTTACTTACATGTACCATTGACAAATCTGTTTGCATGTATCTTTTGAGGATATAGGTACTCTGGTATTAGAAGCTGTGATGACATGCTAACTGTGCCTACAGTGAAAATTAAAAAATTTCAGATACTGTCAATTCAATAGCATTTGCTTAATTATCTCCTTAGTACTACTGCATTTTTATGCATTTATTCTATAAATTAGCAGAATATATTTAAGAATTAGAAAAGCAGAAATAACCTGAATGCTTATGGTTCTGCTAGTCTGATTCAAATAATTCACAGGAAAAAAATCCTGCTTTCCTGCAGCCTTATCCTGATTTTCTGCAATTATATTTTTGATTTTTTCTGTTTGATCTTCTAATATGGCCCCACCCTACCCCAGGGGACATGGTTTGAACAAATATGAATATACCTAACCTTACCTGAGGATGCTTCTGAATTGATATGGCTAATCATGGATTTGCAATTCTTTGGAAGAAGATTTTTATGATTTCTCCTATGTATTCTCATTTTAAACTTTGATCACCAATTATGGCCCCTCCCTACCCCTAAGGGACATGATTTGAACAACCTTGAATGTAAACTATCAAGGATACTTCCATATAAATATGTTTAATCACTGCTTAACTGTTCTTGAGAAGAAGATTTTTCACATGTATGCCTAACATAAAAATTTGATCACCCATTTAAGCCCTCCCAACCCCCAGGGGTAATGAATTGAACAAACTTTAATCTAAACTACCTGACAATGCTTTCATATAAATATGACCATTCATGGCTTTGCTGTTCTTGAGAAGGAGATTTTTAAAGATTTTTTCTATACATTGTATATATATTTCTATGTAAAAATTTGTTCACTCATTGTGATCCCACCCTAGCTCCGGAGGTCATGGTTTAAACAAACTTGAATCTACACTACTTAAGGATGCTTCTTCATAAAAATCACCAATAATGGCTTAACTGTTCCTGAAAAGAAGAAATTTTAAAGATTTTTCATGTTTTCCTATGTAAAACTTTGATCACCCACTGTGGCCCCACCCTATCCCAAGGGGTCATGATTTGAACAAACTTGAATCTACATTATGTCAGAAAGCTTTCACATTTCACATAAGTTTCATCTTTCTGACCCAGTAGTTCTTGAGAAGAAGATTTTTAAATATCCACACCCAATTTATATACTATTTCTTACTTATCTCCCCTTGGAAAGAGGGTATGGCCCTTCATTTGAACAAATTTGAAACCCCTTTACCATAAAGGATACTCTGTATTAAGTTTGGTTGAAATTGGCCCAGTGGTGGAGAAGAAGATGAAAATGTGAAAAGTTTATGACAACAATGACAGACAACGGACAAATTTTGATCAGAGAAGCTCCCTTGAGCCTTTGGCTCAGGTGAGCTTAAAACCAATCATGGAAAAGCAGCATGGAGTAGTCGCAGAAAAGCAGACAGGTTGCAAAAATAAGATGGGGGGAAAAGTATGTCAGCCACTTGATCATAAATAACAACATTATTTATATATATTGATGTATACCTTTGCAATAAATATTTTATTCTAGATATTTTTTACCTTTTTGCATGCAACATATATGTATAATCTTTGAGAAGCTATCAGTGTGGTATAGTGGGGGACCATCTGCTCATTTTCTAGCAAATACCTGCAAGTTAAGAATACAACATTTTAGTAAATATTTCTCAAACATGTCATTAGTAAACACAGAATATACAGTACAACTCACTTACAGGGAAGTTACTCGGACTTGCTTTCTTATAATTAAGCTTCTTTATATATCTGCATTACAGTTTAATTCCTAAAACAACTGAGATTTACCTCTTTTTATGAGAACTGAGTCCTGTTGTATTTTCAATTTAAAATGTATAGATTTGTTTACAGTGGCATTAGTGCTCCTAAATAAATACTTTTTATCTCTAGCTCAATCAGAAACCAGTTGATTTATTAGCTATATTACATTACTGCTTTTATTAATATTGCAAACAGAGCGTCAAACTTCAAACTCAATGAATTATAAACATTTTTTATATCTATCCCCATTTATAATTAACCTCCTAGTGTTTTTAAAACACTGAATTTATCACAGCACACCCCAATGCCTGCCCTGGTGGCAAAAAGATCAAAGAAAACATTATTCTTTTCACTCTTTAAGTCTTGACCTTTTGTTTAAGTGATTATAGTGGAGTGTACCACATGGAAAGAAAAAAAAGACCCCACAAAGGGACACAACTCATTTACTATTTGCAAACTAGTGAACATGAACTATAGTGTATCTAAACAGATGTGCCCCCACTGTGCATGTCATTAGTACATTGTAGTACTTATATAAATATCATGGTTCTATACAGAGAGAGAGAGAGTAACCTCTTTGTGATTATACATGTACATTTACAAATTAATGTTTTGATTGGTGGTGATGGGTGAATGTGAGGTGTAAAGCAGAGTTTGGAGAGGAAGAAATAGGGAAGGTTGGAGTCATACAGAGGAATATAATGGAAATTCAAAATAGTAAAGTTAATGGGATGGGAGCTAGGAGAAGGATAAATTAAAGACCCACCCCACTTTTTTCCAGGCCACCCTTCCATTATGTATCTATTTTTAGAACAAAATGATTGATTTACAGTCTGATTAAAAAATAAATTAGGTATATCCTAATATACATGTATAACTTTACAGTGCTGTATATTGCTTGGTGAGGTTTACACCGGACCCAGGTGCAACAGGCAAAGAGTGCCTGTGCCAGGTCCATCTTATTTCAACATATCTATTTATTAAGCTGTCAGCATACATGTATATTGCCAATAAATTATATTACATTCATCTGGTGATAAAGGAGATGATAAAAATATGACAAACTTACAGAAAATATGCAGTTAAATTTACTCTGCTCTTTCTTGTCTGCTTTCTCAGCCGCATAATGACGTAATATGTGACGTACGGCATTCCATAAAAAACCTACTTTTGGTTTCGTAAAATAAGTGTAAACCCCGTAGTCATCAAAGTTCCGACTTCGACGCGGAAATAAATTTTCAAAATAAAGATTTAAAGGACAAAAATTATAGTTATTTAGATATTTCCCGATTCTGTGATGAATACGAAATGGACTGGCAGATTTAGCCAGGTTCTTCTACTTGCACTTCCTGCTACAGAAAAAAAACGAGTGTACCCTCCTGTGGCTTGTTCCAGTGTTTCCTTTGGGGTTTATGTGCTCTAATCCCTTGAAACGACGGTGAATATGTATGTACTGTTAATTGTTTGTCAAATTTTGTGTTTAAAATGTAGATTCTTATTGTTATTCATTTTGCAACGAAAATTTTCAGAGTAAATTCGGATCTCGTTTTCGTTTCAGGTTCAACAGTTCAACGTAACACCACGGCCAGGTGAATCGAATGCTTCCGTTTCATCGAAGTCATAATGAAGTTATGCATTTTTTATGCTAAGCGACATTTATTTGAAGGCTTTACTAAATTTTGAGTAAGTAATTAACATTAAAAGTGATTTTTAATTGTGTATATTGTTCACATGTGCAAGACTTGTAAACGCGACTTTTACAGTGTATCACACAAAATATTTTAGGACGCAGGTCCCACAAAAGATCCAATTTTCTTGGGGATTATTCTCACAATTGTGAGGGTTATGAATGAAAAAAATTCCTTGTAATAATTAAACTGTTGCATTTGATATATTCTAATTATTTTATGCAGATTAAAAAAAACCCCATCTTTTCAGCATTATAATGTCTGTAAAACTCATAAATCCAATTGGAATATCATAACTAAAATGGACTATTAAATCTAATTTGGACAATAGGTTCCAATAACAACCTTATACAGTGTTTTCCCTTTATTTCAAAGTAAAGCATTAGAGATCAATTGTATCGGGTTGATGTTTATGACAAATCTCTGTGGACCTTACAACAATTAAATTTTATTTATTTTTTTTTTTTTACTATTTCAAAGCAGCATTTTTATCAATTGAAGTGACTAATTTGGCCGGTAGCTGGTTCTTAGGGAAATCACTACTTATATAGAGAGTTGCATGGTCAATAACATGTTCTGATGTCTGACATATGCCTCTATTGTGCAGTTATTAATGTACAAAACACAGGGTCTTCTGTTTTGCCCAAAACATGAAATACCAGTGCAGTTTAACATAAACAAGTTGACAAAACATGGACCTTTCAGGTGATAACATGGAATTTATTGTATGTAATGACAGATCCTATTCAGTAATTATAGGAGTTAGCCCCTTTGACTGAAACAATTGGAATATCAGTATGGGTAGTTAATAAAGATTTTTATGATTTAATTTCTTTGTAGGAAATGCTTGTCAGGACAAAAGACTGAAAAAGACTGAAAAACTGCCTTTAAACACAGCCATCATTAATGTAAATGGATTCATAAGGAGCATCCAAACAATATGTTATTAGGATCATCAGAGACTGGCAATTTTTTACCACTCACTGTGATAGATGCATCTAAATAAACATTGAAATGTTAAATTTTTTTGTTCATTGCTTTTCCTCATATGGTATTAATATTGCATAATATTCTTGTGAATATCGCACGATTTTCACACAAAAAACAGACAAAGTGGAATTCGTATGGATATCATGCGAAATTTTAGTCACATGAAAATCGCATGAATTTCGCATGAAATTTGTGTGATAACATTCGCATGAAATTCGCATGTGGGACTTTTCGCATGATTTTTGTATGATTTTCGCATAAATTTCATGCGAAAAGGCAAACGCATGAAAATCATGCGAGCCACTTTTCCCTGTGTAATAGGGTTTGTTATTTTTTTTTTCAGGAAAGCTTACCTCAATTTTTTCATCTATTTTGTGTTAACTCAAATTTTTGGAAAGTATATCAATGTCATACCAGTTATGTAAATACATATATTTGTGTAGGAAAGATAATGAGTTGGGCTGAGGGACCTTATACCTGTCTTCTCCTCGTTCTCGATGATGGTAGATCAAAGGCGGATCCAGCGTCGGCGCCCCCCCCCCCCCCCCCGTTTGAACTTATTTTTTTTACATGTAATAACACCTCTTATTTGTAGAAATTCGTTAGCTTCCGTGGGCTTCGTCCCCGGACCCCCACCAGGGCTTTGCCCTGGACCCACTTGGGGCTTCAATGCATCATCCAGACCCCATGCCTTCTACTGCGCCCCCTCCCCGTTATGAAATTCCTGGATTCTCCACTGTAGATCAGTTCATCAGTTTTTTGAAAGAAATAGAACAAAACAATGCTGTCTATTACTAAAATCTAAGTCCAGAATTTTGTTTTATACATATTTTTTCAAAGTGCGTTAAGTGTCTCCATGGTAAAAAATATTGATGTACACTCTTAACGCACTTTGAAAATCTTTTTTCAAGGTGCGTTGATTTTGTCCCAAATTTAACGCACTTTGAAAAAAAAATTCAAAGTGCGTTAATTTTGTCCCAATTTTAACACACTTTGAAAAAATTTTGTAAAGTGCGTAATTTTTTCAAAGTGCGTTGCCACAATGCATTAGAAAGGTACATCACGAGTGTGATAACTATAATTTGATTTTGGTTAAAAGTGTCAGTCTGATTTGTCATGAAATTTTTACAGATTATATCACGCTGCATTAATTTATAAGCAGCAGATTTTAACTCTAACATGTCTTATTTACAGCGAAAACAATTTTCCATTTTTCTTAAAAAAAAAATAACCCTCCACCCCCAAAAATATATATACGTGTATATCGTATAAAATTACTAGGAGTTTATATTGGTTCTTTTAAAATCACGTCAAAATTTGAAAAAAAAACTTCAAATGTCTATTAGATAAAATTCTGATGTGACACACTCCTTAATTGAGTGATGAACACATATGTATACTAAAATTATTTCAGATACGCTGATATACCAGCTACATTAACTATCACATAAAAACACATCACATATAAAGATAACATATCACTGGTTGAGTAAATAAAATTTATAAAATGTGAATACATTTGATAGAAAAGGTAGGGAAAAAAGAACGTAAATTTAAACAACTTTTAAAACAATTTTTAGGAAATTAGTATAATTTTGACATTTTTGCAAAATTAAAACCACCTTTTCATTTTTATATAACTTTTCCAACAGTTTTTCGTCGAATTCCAAGTAATGCAGGAAGAAAGAAATCACAGAGGCTAGACAATTTTTTTTTATGCGTGCTAAATTGTCGACGATAAAGTCGCATTACACCTCAAAAGAAAATGAAATAAAATTTAAAGGAAACAGATGTTCTAACTGAATGCTTGTCAATGATTCGTGCAAAAGGGAGAAAATTTAAATATCGACACCCGAGACGTATGAAAGATCGTTTTGCAGAAATTCATTAAGCGATCATACAATGAAAAGAAAGGAAATCGCTATTCTATTAGTTTACATGCCTGAGTTTCCTTCAATATTACAGTCGAATATTCATTCGATGAGTTGATATTCGAATACAATGATATACAAACTTATTTGTCAAATATTGAATGACATATGAGGGGTTACTATAGGGGTATTTAAAAATCAGTCCTTACATCTTTAAAAATAAAGGAATCCTTTCACTCCTTACCTTCTTTTGTAATTTCAAAAAAGGATATTTGCATTTATCTTTCATTGTGGATCAAAACAGAGACTATTTAATGTACTACCAAGCTAAAAAAAATACGTTAATTGTTGGAATTTACCCAAATAATCCGTGGATTTTTAGAGACAAACAACTAATGTGAGAAGGACATCAAAGATTCGCCTAATATTACATCTTCAACCAATCGTGTGTTGGAGATAATACAAATAAAGAATTATCAGTGAATATACCCGCTGTGTTTCATAAGGTTAATACCTCCAAATAAATCCGAGAATGGAATGTTCCTTATTGATTTTCAAATTTCCGGGTTACTAACATTGATAGGAGAAAAGAGAAAAAATCAAATTAAGCCAAGACAGGTAAGATATTCTTATAGATGATTTTCTTGTTTTATCTTGTGTCGTTCGCTGAAGCCCAATTAAACAATTGTTTGTAAACTTTAACATTTAATCAAAAATGCCAAGGCATACTTGAAACTTTATCACATTTATTTTTCTTATTGATTTTTCAACCAGCTTTCTACCGACATTTGACATCTGATAAATTTTGTTTAGATTACAAACGCAGCTTATTTTGTATGTCTATCAAAACACAGCACTTTGTGTTGTAAAAACTTGGTCGTCCATATATATCCTTTGATAGTTTTGATGTGCAAACATGCATAATGTTTGAATTCCTTTTAAATTATTGAGAAAAGGTTGATTCAATCATAAATATTCATAGCCGGATTTCTTTGGAGAAAAAGAATTCATAAGTCCATTGAAAGCATTTTATTGAGATGGTTAACGTTAAAGGATGTCAACATTTCAACTCCTAGGAGACGTGGATTGTTTGCTTCTACCTGAATTTCCTCGAGACTTGGAGAACTGATAATTCTTTTCTTAAAGGACAAGCTTTATTCTTTTTAGGTACGAACAAATATGATTATGTTTACCCAAGCAATTAAATGAAATACCAGTTACATGTAAGTAAACCTGTAATAGGGTTTTCATTTGGTTCGCTGTGCTAGTGTTAATTTTGGTTTTTGAGGATATGGACAAGTCCGGAGCTTCGTTCTGAACAAATTAGTGATCTGAAATTTTGAAAACCATAAGTGTTTAGAAATGGCACAGTCAATTAGCAAAAATCACGCTGTTTTGTACTTTTTTCTCTTTTGCAATTTTAATCAAGTTGCATGTGCAACCTGAGTATATAAATACAAATTTAAGAATCTGCAAAAACAGGAGTCAGAAGTCATGATATTATGATTTATAAATTGTCCTTTCCATGTTTATAATGTCTTGAGTTATATTTTAATTTGATGTGTAGCTTAATGCAAAATGGCCATGTTTACATATGTACAAATTGCTTCCTGTTCCAATGACGAAACAAAAGAAATTGTTTTAGTGCTTCCCTTTCTCTTTGTACCTATATGTAAATCAAAATAAGCACTGGTTTCAAATCAGCTTAAAAGTAACCAATTTTCTCAATTTCAATTTTTATGGCAAAAGAGGTGTCAATTTTAGATATAATCTTTCAAAATCGTGTCGCTTTGCCCGCCATTTTTCGTTTTAATGATGATTGCATATTACAACATATATTCACTAATGACCCTAGCCATCGCCGGAGAAAATCCCTGATTCTCGGGTGACCGTCGAGGACTTTGAGCATTTTATTCCATGGTATGATTGCTATTTTAATTCAATATCCTGTTGTTTAAAAGTTTTTGACGCTGTTATATTTACACACTGCTTTGCATCCATTATGAGATAACTGGATAACATGCTATAATTTCTTTTCAAGTGGAAATTAACTCTTCAAGCGTCAAATGACACCCCACACGACTCCACGAAACAGCAAACCGAACCCTAGTATTTCTCAAAATAAACATAAGCAGCTAAATGGACAAAAACTGTCGGTTCTTGTAAAAATTCTTTCAGAATGTTCTGAATGCTTTGCTGACAGCTCACTCTAGACCTGACATCAAAGCATGCTAAATAGAATTCGACCTTATTTTGGAAACTCTTGAGTACATACCTAATGACTATATTTGTTCACAATTTACATGATATTAACTTTATACACCGTTGTATTGCATTTCATCAACACCCCCCCCCCCCTTAATTTGTCATGTTTGAATAAAAGATTGTCTCTTTAAACAGTAATCTTGCTTACACATTTGATGTCAGAGTACAGTAGTCTCACAGTTACTAGGTATTCATTCGTAAGCCGGATCGGCTTGACCAAACTTTGAACATCCAAGAATTTCATTTATTTTTTTTTTCTAGATGTAGATGATCAAAGATTTTTGTGATGTCATTATATCATTGTCGTGGAGATGTCAAGAGGAGCAAGCAGGAATTCCGTTGTTTTAACCAAATATGGTGAGCGTCCACTTATCGACATGCCGCCATTGTCGTTATCTAGAAGTAGTGGCAATAACGAGGATGTTCCGGCACACATATTTAAAGTTCCAGGGAAACGAGCAACTCATGTATACCATCAACCACCGAGATCTCCTCAAGTGTCGCTTACTGCGCCGCAACATCAGCGAAAGCAATACCAAGAACCGCTTATGGAGTATCCAGATTATTCTCAGTCACAGCAAGGTCCTAACAGGAACTATTATCAGCCCCGATACCCCGTTCAGTATCAGTCACAAGCACCGCCTCCACAAGCGCTCCCACCACCACCTCAACCACAAATTCGCCAATCATATTTTTCTAATTTAGCCCCGGATTCTAATTTGATTCCTTATGATTATACACATTATCGGCCCCAGCCTCAAATGCCTCAGTCTGTGCCAAAGTATGATACTTCACCAACATATGCCCCCGCTCCAGCACCCCAACAGGTTCCAAATGGGTCCCAGTCTAACGAAGTACACGTATATTATGGACCAAATGGTGAAAGGCTTCCAGGACCCTTACCTCCTCCTAGTTATCCCACAGATTTTACTCTGGAAGGAACACTAGAATTTGGAAAATTAGTATCAGTGAAAGTTCGTCACTCAAACATATCCTATCGGGAAATTCCGGATTTTGTGTTCCGAGACTTGCACAAAACATACGGAATGATTGAAAGAGTGGACGTGAAAATCGTAGCTCAAGGAGGTGAATATAACATTTACGCTTCCCCTAGTATACAGAGCGACGTGAGCAATAATCCGGGTTATATCTTTGAGCAACAACATGCGAGACAGATCCCTATTCCTGCCTTCAGCCAGCCGGAGATTCACGACAACAGAAGACGGGATTCTCACGATCCTTACACCAGGTTATACAGGTACGGAAAAGAAGGACATCATTCCATGTCTGGGAGGGGCAGTAGTGGTTTGTATGATATTGATGAAGATCGTGAGAGTCAACCGATGACAAGAGACTCTCGTCGATGATGAAAATTAAAAACGAATCTACATACATTCATATTGTTAAAATCAGACTTTTCTCATACTTTTAGCATACTATGCTTATAGTGTATCACATGGTTGCACGTTTGCTGATGAATATGTGGATTTTATTATACCCTCTACAACGGTCATTTATCGCATAGCGGGTTTTCTTGGCGGGTGTAAAATTTGGCGTTTTGCCTGCTCAAAGGTATGCCAATGACTTTGGCGTAATTTACTGTAGCAGACACCATGGGTTGTAGGTTTCAACTCTTTGCAGATGAACACTAAGAAGAGTACTGAATATTTTAGCAATTTAAAATTTTAGCGGGCTATTATCAAAACTCCAAAATTAGCACCCCGCTAAAATAACCCGCTATACGGTATACTAGAATCACCATGCTCAGACTTTCTAGCAGTACAAATGTAGCTAGAAAGTAGCTATCTGTCTAGACGTCTGTTTGTCCACCTGTTTTTATATTGCTAAGTATTGCTAAGTATTAGACATAAGGTTAAGCACAGCCACATTCAAGCATATCTGTAGGAGTTTCGATACCAAACTTTCAGTTTGCATCGATTGGATGCCTAGATTGATGCATTCCCAGATGCTGCGTGTGAACACAACATTTTATGCTCTAGTTACTCCTGATAAGGTCTGTTGTTGTCTGAATTCAAGAGATGTTCAAACCCAACTTGTAAGACTGGTGTATCAATATTTGGATGATTCCTACAGTAGTGTGCTGTTATCTTTGGATGATACGCCTGGCCTATATTTTACACCTGACTGACTCCTCTTGTCAGCATTTCGGACATTTTCTGGCTTATCACCCGTTGTATCCCAAAGAAATTTGAACATAATAATTCATCTGATACCCTTCTTAATTTTTTCTACGTTCACCTACTTTTTATGCTTGAGTGACTTCAGTAAAGAAGAGCATTTAGGCTCGTTTTAACTTATCATAAGAGACGTACCAGTACTAATCACGCGGCACCAAGTCAAACGTATCTCGCCTTCTAGCACTGGAGTAAAAGCTGGATGCTGACCTACATTTTACACTTCAGTGACTCAAAATAGAGACACAATTTAGCTCTTTCTCGGCTTATTACAAATCACAGCAAAGGCATATTTGGACTCTTTTGTGTAATAGTATCTAATGTTTACAATAAGTCATGTTTTGATTTAACCTAAAGGAGGTATCAGTCTCTCATGGACAACTGCTGAACAATGTAGCTTTAGGTTGGTTATGTACTATTACAATTCAAAAAATTATTAAGATGAAAAAATGCAATATACTTGAGAGGATATTCTCACATTCCAAAATACACGTTATCATCTTTGTATTTAAATTATTCTGTATGTGCTTGACTGTGCATTTGTTCAATAAATCCCCCTCTCCCTTCTAATTATTGTGATGCATCAAATAACAAATGAATATTCACCGATGTTTTGTCTTTATCCTAAGGTTTTTGTTTTATCAACCAAGGTAATTTTCATAATTCTATGTCCAAAATTCACCACAAAGAGCAAAACAAATTCAATACGTGATAGAAGACAGAAACGTATAGTTTAAACAATTCAAACAATGTTAAAATAAATGATTTTTTTAATGGAACACTTTCAATATAGGCATCTACTTTCATGCAGTTTATATGCAACACTTTTAAACTCTACATCTTAAAAAAGTATTGTGAGAGGACAAAGATTATATCTCATATAAGTATTTACCAATTATCAAAATTCTTAATGTCAGTTAATTCAAGTTCAAAGGTAATTCTTTTAATTTTTATTTATTAATTTTTTTTATTTTAGATGACGTCTTGGTTGAGGAAGCACAGAATCATAAAATTTGCACCTTTGCACGCAGTGGTATTAGGGTGCATTGTAAGAAATAAAATAATGGACTTGGGCACAGCACTCTTCAACATTTCCAGTTGCACACAGATGTCTGCAGTCAATCACATGAACTGGTTTGAAAGGGGAAAACACTCGCACTTTAATGCAAAATTTGAATTTAGTATACTGTACCATGGACTCTCGAATTCTTATCTTTTAGTCAGGTTGCACTGATAAATACATTTTGAGTAAATATATGATAATGCTTCATTATTCATTTGACTTAACATGTTTCATTCGCACTTGTTCCAATGGTAATTAATAAAACATTTCAATATCAGTTAATAATTTATATTCAACGCCAAATGTACACAGAACTGTAAGTTACCTAAATTGCCAATTTGCTAACCGACCAACCAAACTTTGATCCATCTACATCTACGCATATAAATGTATAACAAATGTCTTAATTTTAGCTACGTTATAATTCAACTGTGTAATAGCGAAATTGTGTACATCTACATAGAAATTGAGGAATGTGATAGAAATTCTATACTGATTTGTTGGTTTGTGAACGGGAGTATTCTATCATAGAATACTCCCGTTCACAAACCAACAAATCAGTATATAATTTCTTATACGATTACTGTATGTATAGTAGATCGAATCATTATTAAAATCTGATAAATGAAAGTAAATTAAAAATGTTACCTTCATCTATAATTCTACGATTCTCCTGTATTTTATCTGGAAAATATTTTTTTACACCGCAATCCTATTGTCACAATTGAAAAAAAAAAAGACTATTTCTACGAATTGAGGGGTCAGTTTCTGTCAAATTTGGTTATGTACAATGAAAAGAATGCCAATCGTTCAAAGGGTTCGGACATAATGTATGATGTAAAACGAAGGGATAAACTTACTATAGTAACATATTCTGATATTTACAAAGAATCTTGATCTAAACTTTCGTAAGAAAATTATGATTCACTACTTTTTAAATTTCCTTGATTATGAGTCTACTACCTTCCAGCTACGTGTCTCGTAAATATGAAATTACTTCTATAAGCCTTATATTGTTGGGTATAGTACATTACCGCTAACATTTTCAAAATAGTCTTTACCGATACAAAAAAGTAGACATTACCGCTATATTCATAAGTATAAATTACAGCTATAAGGCCTTATCTGTTAGCCAGCGCCTGATGCATGTACAGACATTACGTACAACACATACTTCAATAAGACCTGTTTCCCCTGCTCACCATGCAGGGTATATATTTTTTTTATTTACTTTATTATTTAAGATCCTTAGCCATTCTATTTATGAAAGATTCATGAAAATTCATTTTTTTTTCTACACATCTTCAACTTCAGAATTTTTGAAAGCCTTATTGTATTTCGACTACAGGCTGAAGGATTACTTAATTGTACTCCGACTACATTTTGAGTGAATTATATTGAATAGAACTCACTTTTCTAAACACTTTGTTGTCACCTCCTTTTTTATATGTTTAATTCCTAAACATGTAAAATTTCTAAACATGTCTTAGAAAGTGTTTAGAATTTAAAAACCTGTGCGCTTAGAAATTAAACATATCTAAACACAAGTGTTTAAATTCTAAACACATAACAGCAGAAGTGTTTAATATATATAAACACATCATAAGTATAATTTGTACCTGCAGAAAACAAAACACTCTCGTAAATTAAGGCACAAAAAGTATATGTTTTTTCAGTGCGCATAATTGTCAGAATTTTCAAAATATGTAACCGATATTAATTACTTTCCATAAAGCCACTGAACTTTGGGATATGTATTTAATTATGCGATGTACATGTACTTAATTTACACAAATAATGTAGGAGATAGAACTGAATAGATTTGATTAGTCTCACCAATTCAATCAGAATGACACATAATTTATAATGTACACATAGATAACAAACGTTTAATCTTCAAAATTATTAAGAAAAAATATTAAGCTGACAATTTAATATCAAAACTTCACTGAGTATTTCTAAAAAGATTTATTAAAAAAAAATTTAAATGAAAAATACAGAATGTTTATATATATATATATATATATATATATATATATATATATATATATATATATATATATATATATATATATATATATATATATATATATATATATATATATATATCTCTATAAGATGTAAATTTTGAACAAGCGAAAAAGTAATGATAAGCATCTTCAACAGAATCAATACAGTGTTCACACATTGGTGTTTCTGATAAACATTGGCTATATAAGTCTGCCTTTAAATTACTTGCATTGTTCCTTAACTGACAATGTATTATATTGTATTTTCTTATTCCAATATGAAATATAGTTCATTACTTTTTTTTTACAAAAATAAGAATTCAAAAGACTTTTGAATGATGATATTCCAGAAGCATTTCTAAAAAGATCTGGCAAGTTATTCCATAGTTTAACTGTTGATGGAAGGAAACTTTCCATGTATGATGTAGTTCTAATATGAGGAATTTTGAATTGTGCATCACTGGTTCTAAGATTATAGGAATGATTTGATGGGCGATAAGGCTCAATCAAATCATGCAAATATTGAGGTGAATAGCCATTTATAATTTTATAAAACAATATCAATTTATGAACCTTCCTTCTTGTTTGTAAAAGATCCCACCCTAATTCATCATACAGTTTTGAACGAGAGGAGTTACATCTTAACCCAGTGATAATTCTACCTGCTTCAACTTGAATATCTTCTAAAAGTTTTGAGTCTTTTTCAGAGCAATTGTCCCAAACAACATAGGAATATTCTAAAACAGGTCTAATAAATGCAAAATATATCTTAACAAGTGTTTTCCGCCTAACCTTATACTTAAGCATTCTGAGGATATAAATTAGTCTTTTTGTAGCTTTTTCATGAATTGATTGTATATGCAATGTCCACGTAGCATCTCTTTGAAAGTGTAGACCTAAATGGGTATGAGATATATTCTGAATTATGTTTGGACCATGTTCCCCAAATTTGATAGGGGGATATACCATGTTTTTACGACTAAAGTCCACGTTAATAGTTTTGTTTGGATTAAAATCAACTAGCCATTTTTTTGACCATTTATCAATAAGTTCAAGATCACTAGTAAGGGATTGTGTTACATTTGTGGCTCCATTGTCTA